GTGTCTAGAATGATCCTGTGTGATGTCTATTGTCTTAGTTTACGCAAATGGTGAAACAGTTCAAGGCATCAGATCTACTGGTCTGCTAGTAATACTTGATAGATTTTCACAAGGAAATGTTCAAAACTAAATGCTACATATCCTATGCAGGATTGATTCGTTTTACTCTCTCTTTCTCTCTTTAGTCTTTGTTTTCGAAATTTTCATTCATGTGGGGGATTGTTGAAAATATTGAATGAAAATAGGAGTTTCATCAGTTGGAAAACACTTCAGTTTCAGATTTTATGGAGTTCAAACAATTTCAGCCGTTCTCTTCAGTTTCATTTGTTTTCTCTTCAATGCTGTAACTTTCCATTCAATGCATTAAAGAGTTGACTCCACCTCTATGGGTATAAATAGGAAGAGCTCTCGGTTGGAAGAAATACAGTGAACAACAAGCACAACAAAAGTAAAAATATAGTTTCTTTCTCCTTCATTTCCAGCAACCTCCGTTTTTATTCCTTTTCTTCGTTTGCTAAATTTCTTTGAGAGAAATACACAACTAGTTCGTAGGCGATCAATGTAGTGCAGCGGGAACCGACAACCGATTGTAGCTTGGGAATCGAACACTGATCAAAATCTCGTGCACTCCAGTGAGGCGGCGAATTCGATTTAAGGAAACCATGTAAACACGAGCTTTCGGTTTGATTTGATTCTCCAATATTTACTAACAGAAATAACTTGTGACCAATTAATTTGATAATTTGTGATCGTTAAATAAGTTGTCACTTATAAAATTTGTAATTTATGATCGATGAATAAATTGCGACCTATAAAATTTTTGATTTGCGACCGAGAAAAAATTTGTGACCTATAAAATTTTTATTTGTGATTTAGAAATAATTTGTAACTAATTAATTTAATACTTTGTGACCAAATTGTGTAGAATTGTGACTTTCGTATATTTAATTAATAAATTTGGTTTTTGAAATTTTAAACCTTATTAATTTTGAAATGAATCGTATTTAATCTCTTAACTATGAGATTAAATATGAAATTTTCTCATCTTGGAATTAAACCTGTGGCCCACGAACAATTAGTCATGTGCACGGCATGTATTTAATCTCTTAACTATGAGATTAAATATGAAATTTTCTCAGCTTGGAATTAAAGCTGTGGCCCGCGAACAATTAGTCATGTGCACGGCATGTTTTGCTAAGCTTATATTTAGTTTTTCGGTCTTATTTCGTCAATAACTATATGCTTACTGCGTAAATAAGACCGTAGAAAAAGCAAGAACGTCTAGTTATAGGCTAGATCGAACATGCATATAAGGATAATATCACATTTTGGCACACTTTTATTATCAATATTACCCTATTTAGCAATTACTATTTTTTGTTATCACTGATAATTTTGACTATCCACGTGACCACGTTACATATATTCATGATCAAAAGATCAAGCTAGCTACGATTTCTGCTTTTAGTAGTATTGTATAGTTTCGTAGAATCTCAGTCGCACGGATGTACGCCTTGATATGGCAAGGCTCGTGGGTCTCTTTCATCATCACCTTCTAATAATTGTATAAAACGAATTAGGAGGTCTTATGTGAGAAAGGGCTTGTAGCGCTCTCTTATGGCAGCACTACTCCTAGATGCCAATGTCGGATTCGCTAGACGAGTATGAGATCACTACAGAAAATCGAATATCGCTATCTCTCAGACAAGCGTTATAGTGGAAGCGATCACTCGACTACTTAAGTCAAATGCGAACCTACAGATTGCTCGCTCGCCTACCAATAGTCCAAAGAATATAATTATTTTTATTAAATATGTTATAACAAATAATCTTATTAAAATCTAATGACAAGATGAATACTAGTCAACTTGTCCCAATTAGAGGCAACATAAAATTCAAACAAATAAATACATATATATACCAGCGGCTTCTAAATTTAAACAACGTTTATTGACTGGCAATTGGGATATAAATCAATTAGAATAATAATAAATTCATTATTAAACATAAAGCATGCTTTAGTTCATTAATGTAATCTTGAAGCTTCTGGTTATGTCAATCTGTTACCATTGACAATTTCACTTAATAAAATATTCAATTATTATTTGTTTAAAGGAGGAAAAATTAAAACATATTATTACATTGATTTTGAGACTTTTTGGGTGATTACATTCACAGGTTCAGACAGTAACAACCTTTTAAGGGTTCCACAATTTGCAGATAAAAAAATAGGAAAAATGGAAACTGTTGCTAAGGGTGCCAATTGGCATGTTTCTAAGATACATTGAGCTGACTTTGGGACATATGACCTTTAATTACTTGAAATTGTATAAGAGGTATGATTTTAATTCAAATAAAAGTGGAAGTTTTCAAATGTGCAAGTCATAGATTTTGATTTTTACTTCATTTCCATTTATCATGTATAAGAGGATTGACTAGGACCATATTGAAAAAATGAAAGAAAGGGTTCGTGAGCTCGAGCTCAATAAGCTCATATTTTGGTGGAGTTTTAGTGAACTTATTTTTTATCATTGTATTTTATAACATATCGAATATACCACGAGTATTTGAGATGTGTACTTTCTTTTTGATACACAGTCTCACAACGGATGGAGCACAAATTCCTTTATAAAAGCGTAGAATAATATAAAACCTTAAATTTTTTTTTATGAATTTGAAATCTAAAAGGAGTGAAGAATATTGGAAAATTATCAAGAATAATCTAACGCCAAAATGTCTACATTGTCGCCTTCACAGCAGGCCTTCATAACTTGTTTTTAACATTAAAAAGTAATCTCCATGTGAACACAAATACATTCTGAGGGGAACCAATAAACCATTTAGCTGATACAGTGCAGGCCTAAAAATACAAAACTATATAACTGTTTTGAGTGTACTGAAAAGTCAAATGGTTTTAAGAATCTTAAGTCATAATATTTGTTGTTTATATGTTGTCTTCATCACTGCTTTTAAGCCACCTTTGGTCTGCAGTTCTGGATTTCAAGGGTCTGGCCAAATGAAAGGAGTTCTACATTTGTATTTCAAGAAATATAAGTCAGACTATACAACTGTAACTATGTATGATTAACTTGCATATTATTGTCCACAAACTTGTTTTAAGAGCCTGCAAAAGTATCCGGACGGGATAAATATATGACATGATTACTTGATATTATAATTATCGTATCTGTATTGATCAGCACGACGAATAATATATTGTAAATTAACGAACTTGCTCCAATTCATAATCACTCGTTGAAGATTTTTTCAATCTCGCTTTGAACACTGCTTTCCAATTGTTGTTTATGTCATCGAGTCAATATCAACAATTACAAACTTATGTGTTACCCCTCGATTCTGAGGTCTAAAAAAGCAAGACCACATAAGCACGCCACGTAGATAGGATTATCAGTGAAAGGTCAAAAGGTGGGGCCCAACAAGTCAGAGATCCTAATGAGGTGACTGGCTAATGTCCTTAATCCAGCATCCGAACCCCTGACACAACACAATAAGGTACAAGCTAAAGCACCCCTGCAAGACAAGGCGCAATAAACTAACTGTGGCCCTCTTAAGTCGTCCGAGGCTCTCCTGTCCGACGTTGTCCTTATAATAGATTTGAAGATCTTTCAGAAATGATTGATATAACATTTGTAATAAAGTTGTAAGTCTGTCAGCATAGCATACGGCGGCTAACCGCTTGTCAACCCATTTAATGCGTGAAACAGACGATGAGGTGACGTCCAAATAAGCGAGATCATACCACGTGGATCTGATCTAACGATCATTATATCAGCCAAAATAGTATAAATATGCTACTCTTGTGACTGAAGAAGGGAACGGATTCATTGATACAAAATAGACAAATACACATTTATACAAATATTTGAACCCTTACAAAAAAGGAGAGAACTCATCTATTCATCATATCTATCATTTCACATATTTCATTACAAAGAAACGATGTTTAAGGATTATCATTTTGTTGAAAGGCGATCATTGATAGCGTGATTTAGCTATGTCAACGAGCCGAAAAAAAAAAAGCTTGGACTCGACTCGAGCTTTTTTGACTGAACTTTTTTAGGGCCCGAGTCGAGCCGAGCCCGGCCAAAAAAATAAGGCTCGGCTCAGACTCAATTTTATATTTTTTAAAAATTTTTTTCATCTATTTTAGCTTAAATTTTTTTTTTAATTAATCCCTAGCAGAGCCGGCTGGAGCCGACGAGCTTTTTGGCCACCACTAGCGTGATTGTCTTCGAACCATATCGCCAGAGCCTTAACATTTTTGTCTTTCGCTTGGAAAGTGCCTCCCACATTCATTACAGTCAAATTACCGTCTCATTCCGGTAGAAACGTGTCGGATCCGTACTTGACATGACGAGAGTAGGCCCGACATCTGTTGAGTTCATTTTTTTTGGGTGAACATTATGCAGGTTAACTTAAATCACACCCTTACACAACCAAGGCTAATAATATAAGACTAATGCAAAAGTTTTCAATAATTAGTATGTTCCAGAAGGTCTTAATCACAAGTCTTTATGTTAGACATCAGAAAATTTTGACTGTCAAATTAATTTCCTTTTCTGTCAGCATCAAACCGCCTATCCACTCTTTTATATTGATCTTTTCACACATTCTGTTAGCTTAAAAACCCAAATTCTTTCCATCACATCCCCACAAAAAACTTTTCAATTATCCTCTTTCTTCCACTCCACAACTATTATTTCATCCCAATGACGGGAAAAAGAATCCAAAACAGCTCGGGGGGCAGTCCATTATCAGGTAACATCTCGGATAGTAAGGAGCAAGATCGATTCCTTCCTATTGCGAATGTAAGCCGGATCATGAAAAAATCCCTCCCTCCAAATGCAAAAATATCGAAAGAAGCCAAAGAAACTGTCCAAGAATGTGTATCCGAGTTCATTAGCTTCATCACAGGCGAAGCCTCAGATAAATGCCAAACAGAAAAGAGGAAGACTATCAATGGAGATGATCTCTTATGGGCTATGACAACATTAGGATTCGAAAGCTACGTTGGACCCTTGAAAGTCTATCTCAACAAGAATAGAGAGGATGAGGGGGATAAGAACACCGTCATTAGACAAGAGCCCTCCCCTACTAGTGATCCTGAGATTGGTAAAATTACTGATAATTTGTACAGCTTTAACAGTGATTTTCATGCACAAGTCACTGCAAAAGGCCCAGGAGGTAACCACAAGGTTAATATTGGCTATGGTGAAAATTTGGTGTCTGCGAGCTATGAATTTGATGGAAATGTTAAAAGGGTCATTGCAACTAATCTTCATCATGGCATTGAGTGGTAGACACTTTGAATATTGGAAAAATATTACCTAAAACAACTATTCATTTCAAGTACTCTATATATTAATTTGTTGATTATATATGAAATTTATGTTAAAACTGTTCTTGACTTCTTACCGTGGTAAGACCATTCATGTTTGTGCACATCAATTTCACGCTTCATAAGTGATTCTTGGGAACTAGGTTTACAGTTTTGCGAGGAATTTCGAGATATCATTTCACAGTACCTTGATGTTAAGTGAAATTCGGCATCAAACTAGCTCGTAAAGATTCGGTGTCCTAGTTATTAGGTGACTGATAATCTACAATAGTCATTTCCACATCACCCTCTCCACAACAAAGATCATTCAAAGAAAGGTGCTTACTTTAGTACGAGCTATTACAACCATATCGAATTAATTGTACCCTTAAAATTCACAAACTAAGCCTCATATGACCACCCTATGACAGTTAAGATAGTTACACTAGTTGCTCAAACCCAACACTCGACAACATGGCAGTTACACTAGTTGCTCAAACCCAACACTCGACAACATGGCACTAATCATTTTCAATAAAGCATGTTCAATGGTAGTAACAACTACCAGAGAAAATTAAGAATCGAACAAAGAATTCACAGCTCGTGAATTCAATTAATTGGTATTAAAATCGAGAACTTCAAAATTTTATTTTTTTTTCACTGACAATAACATTTTCTGGGCTTTCTCCCGTTGTTTCCTAGTCTAAAACTTTTTTAAGTTTACAATTTAGAAGGCGAGGAGAGCCTAGCCCCGTACTTGATGAATTTACTTGTTTTTGCAGCTCCCTTCCTCTCTGAAACTAAAATCTACCACCATGTATACAGTTGTTGCAAGAGACGCTCTCTAGAGGAAACTTGTTTTGGATATGTCATAAAACCTTGTGAACCTTCCCATAGTATCTGTTGATGAAGGCAGACTGCAATTCAAGTTGCAATACAGAAAATGGTCAAATTTTAAATGTCAAAGGTAACCTAACAAATTAATAAACCACTAACGATTACAATGACATATTCAACGTTTAAACACATTCGTTAGAAGTACAAGGGACACGTCCAACAAAATAAAAGATAAAACACAATTTTCTTAACAAATATTAAATGGCCATGAATTATGTTGGAACCATGAGCCATTGATTGTTGTGTCGAGATCAAGTAACTTGTGCTACATCATCTCATATCGTTTGGCTACATCAGGTGACCGTTTAATACTTTGCTCTATCCTAATTAATCAAGAACTTACAAATTTAGAGCTTATTCAAGGTACTCTCCATTTATGAAGATCATCTCATGTATAATAAATTAATCTTTAAATTTAGGTATTGAAACTTTTTATACACTTCAACAATATTATAATCTTTCATTTTGTTTATTTCTAGGAACATTTATTAATTTCTCACCAACACTTATTTAACATATTTTTTTACATGTCAACGATCAATCAATTCAAAAGTGATTTGAATAATTTAAATACTAGTAGAGTATAGAAATATGCATATTATTAAATGCAATCTTTATAAAAGTATAAAAAAAGAATTTATTAGCTCTCTAAATTTGGATAGTCAAATCCACTATATATTTTAAGAAGTTAAAATAGAGAGAGTGTTAGAACTTATTTTTACACATTAACTCTCTAAACTTGTATTTACGTAGCCTTTTGGAGATGCTCTTGGAGATCCTTGAGATAATTCACATCCAAATTTTATTTTGACTAAAAAATGTTAAAAAAATAATTTTCCTTGTTATTGACCCTTTGTTTTTGTGAAAATTAAGTTCGGGATATAATCCATGATAAAATTATTAAATTTTTTGGAAAATTTATAGGTGTAAATTGGAAAAGTCTCCAATTTGTGCAACAACTAGTCGCGACTCTTCAATTGCAAATGATGCATATCAAAGAGTTATGTTGTTTTGAAATAGGTGTGACCTTTTGATAATGACAATCTACATCATTAAATATGGAATTGTGCGATCTAATTGTTAAAATTAGTTTTGTCAATAAATGCAATCGGCAGGAAGAGACGCGTGAAATTTATAAATAGAGACATTTAGTTCCGATTTGTTTCACTCCAAATCAATTTCATATAATTGATTTATAATTCTTTCATTCTCTAAATTTTGTAAAAATGATTTTTAAATTATTTTTGAGTTTTATACTCGAGATCTTCTATTCTAGAAGTTTACAGTCTTTGCCAGACAAAATTTCTTCTGAAACAAGATCAATTTCTTCTGAAACCAACCATGAGCACTATTAAGGGACGAAACATCAACTGTGCATGCGGCACCACCCTCTGATGATCAAACTTCATCTAATGTAATTGCTGTCAAGTCAGCTAGGTCTACACATTCTGATTTATTAAAGGACGAGGCAAGCTTTCTTTAAGCATTAAGAGGTTGCCCAAAAATTGTTCTGTGCATCGGACATGATATTAGCGTCGAAAATAACGAAGAAGTTTATAACTTGCTACTAGAATTTGCGTCTGGTGGCACCCTAAGAGACCTAATCAAGAATTCTCTTGGCACAATGTCTGAACTGCTGGTTGCCTTTTACACGCGTATGCTTCTTAAGGGTTTTTCCCGTGTTCATAAAAAGTTCGTTCATTGTGATATAAAGCCAAAAAAATCATACTTGTTTTCCCCATGGAAGATGGCACAAACCATCTTAAGATTGCTGATTTTGGGTTGGCAAAGGAAGCAGGAGAGGAAGAAGTATTTGATGTTGAAGAAGATTCATACCAATGTGGAAGTCTTCGTTATGCATCACCAGAATTCGTGGGATTTGGTAACACGAGGCAGCCACGGATATATGTGTTGGAAAATTCGAAATTGACTGTAACCAATTTAAATGATTGTTGATTATTTAAGTGGAATTTTTTTTGGTGAATGAGAAATTAAGCCAAACTTAAAATACTTGAAATTGTTGGAAATTGTATAGAATATTGTGGAATATTCTAGAGAATGAGTAGATGAAAAGATGAGTCTTTTCATATGGAAGATCATGACTTTTGGTGTGAGTAACTTCCAATAATTATGATTCTTAATTTCAAGAGATGTGTCTCTTGGTGTGGTTTCCAACTACTATATATATAGATCCCCATGTGTTTGGATTNAGAGAGGAATTCCGTTCGAGTTCGTAGGTCTAAGCCATTTGGACTGCTCATATGGCTTGACGTGGTCATTGTATTTTGGGAGATGATTGCCGAAAAACCGTTAGCACCGATGCGGGGAAAATTCATCTTAAGGATAAAGTTTCAAACACTTACCTTAACAGATCGCATCACTTATGCATTTCATCTTTCTCATTTCTAATTTTGTTTGTACTTGATTTCAGAATATAGTTAATTAATTTGTGTTTTATTGAAAGGTTTGAATTAAAAAGAGATGCGTTCAAAACTGGGAAGTGATGAATCTATATTCATATATTCGAAGTTATTAATTTTCTAATTTGTCTTCTCAAATCAGATTTTGGTAAGTCGAATGATATTTCGATTTCACGGTATGTTCTTGATTAATATAATATGCACATTATCGGTGTAATTTCTTCTACAATATGGTCGCTTGGACGCACTATCTCAGAGATGCTTTCTGGTAAAAAGCTTCGGAAATCTATTAGTACGAAAGAGTAATTGACATATGAGATCAAGTGCGGGAAGCTAAAATCCCCAAATATCTTTCTGACAATGCGAAGGATTTTGAATTTTGTTAGATGTACATTCTTGTATATATCTAGCGTTACATCCCCCTATGTGGAGGGTGGCATTGCATTGATGTAATTTCAAGATTCAAAATTAATGGTGTAGATGATTCTATATGGTAGAATGTAAATAATAATGTCAAAGGTAATGTGCATATAGCATGACTCGAGAATTGATTTTTTACACTTGTGTTTGACAAAGGGGCCAGTAAGAGATGGACATCTGATATGCTACTAAATCATCCATTCATCGTCCATAATCGCAGAGAAGAGCCTCAAAATCAGGACAAAGAAGTGCTCAATCCCTTCTGTTCTTGTCTATGGAGTTCACGCTATCTTTTTTCGACTCCTGTGGATATCACGAGCTGTCCTAGTTCATCTCCACGTCTATTCCCGTCAGTGTTGTTGAAAATTTTTTTAATTTTATTTGTTCGAATCGCTTCGTCATTGTTCTAGCCAACAAGATTTGTTTTATGGAGGCGCTTAGTCCTATTAGAAAATAAAATTTAGATTTTAGTTTAAATTAAAGCTAACAATTGATTTCAATCACATGTTTCATGGAACTATATCTTTTTAACTACACATTTCATCAACTTTTATCAAAATCTACTAAAAATTTAATTTTAAACTCCTTCAAACAGGAACTTAATGAGGAGTCAAATGTTTTATATCTCCTCGTGTATACCAAGTCATAGTACATGTTGGTCAATATTCTAGGACTTAGTGGGTAAATATCCTTACTTTCAAGCACGAATGGCTCCATAAATAGGGCAGGTCGTAAGCCATTTTTATTCATCATTACCCACATGCCCAAAAATCATAAAAAAATGCATAATCAACTAGAAACTGTACCGACTTAGGGTTTGTAGACGGTGGAACTTGGACGAAATGGAGAAATTTTTTTTTAAGAGAAGTGTTGATACGATCCCAACAACAAAACAAAACAAAACACGACCTTACTTGAAAGAGATTGTAATGCCGCTTCATGTCGCCACTGTCCAATTTGCAGATTTTGTGGTTCTTTGGAAACCTTTCAGAAAACTTGGTACTGAAACAAACTAACAAAGATTGAAAGAAAAAGGAATAGAGGGGAAGGAAATCGAACAAAAATACACCTTCTACTATAGTCGAGAGAGGGTTAGTACGAAAGACTTTGGGTCGGGAACAAACTACTCTGAGATATTTTGTATTATATTGAATGACCATTAGGCCCCGAGTTTCAGAATTAATAAAAGAGTAATGTTACTTGCAGTCGCCCACTGTAGCGGTCGTCCTATGTGGCACACACAGGA